GTTCGTCCTATTTGGGACTCGCCATCTGGGTGAGCCTGCATTTATCAGTGAGTGATGATGTTCCCACTGAGGCTCGACCTGAGACCGAGCACTTCGGTCCAATCAATCGACAGGAAAATCTAAAATTCAATTAAATTAATATAACCCGTTGCACAGGAGATGGCTCTAGTGGCCCAAGTGGTCTAAGGGATAACGCTTTGGCTGGTGTTTGAAACTATGGGCACTGGGTTCGAGCCTCGGTGGGAACATCATCACTCACTGAGAAATGCAGGTACATATCTAGATGACGAGTCTCAAATAGGACAGTTGAAATGCGCATCCTGGATTCCACTGCTAGTCATCATCCAACAATTAGCTTTCCAAAGCTGTGACGAAATGTATGCTATAAACCTAATGAAACAGTAATTGTTCAACACCAAAATATAATTATGTCATGCAAAACAGGCACACTGTGATATCTACAAACAGGAAACAACAGTGAAGATGAAAGTAGTCAAACTTTCAAAATGAAATTCCAGTACACTGAAAGATTCAGATGATTTTCTGTAACCATACCACTTTCAAATAACTACGGTAGAGATCAATGCACAATGCGCAGTGTTGAAATTACTACAAACCTACAGCTTTGAAAATATTCACAGCATCGTTAGCAGCACATCTGATATTTTTTTTTATTTTATTTTATTTTTGATTACAGCTTGATTCCACACCATATTTTTGGTACAAGTATGGAATTTTCAGCATGTATATCGGTAGCCCAAATTTCGCAGGCCGACCATAGATATCAAGGTGTGCGTCGGCGCGGGCTCGAACCTCGGACCATGTGCATGGTCGGCGAGAGTCCTAACCACTGTGCCACCGACGCACAGAGATGGGAACAATTTTTCATTACAAAATGTGGTTGTTAACCAATTCAAAGCTGGTCCCCCATGTAACGGTCTACAAAATCACAATAACTGTGTGCTATCAAGAGACTGTGGAATTATCTGGAATTTTCAAACGCAACAATATCCAGTACCACAGTCTATGGTGATGGCCGCCTTATAACTGATATACTAATAATGCTTGTAAATTCTGAAGCTTTCAATGTTCCGCTTCATAGTACAGTCATCCCAGACCATAAGCAGATCTCATAATAACTCAAACTTTTGAATCCTACCCCTTCCTCGTAAAGCTAAACAAGCAATCAGTACAATTAATAGTGTTTTCTGAGCTGGTTTGTTTTAGTTACGGAGCTTTTATCGTCCCCCTTCTGGACAACATCCCCCTTCAGCCCAGTCTTTAGCATAAAGTGAAATGATTTAAATTTCTCTTCATGAGTGATAGAATTGCGTCTCCCGGTAACCATCTTTACACATGTATTGATCAGTTTCTATTGACTTGAATTTTAAACTTTCTGATCACATGATCTTCTTTTTATTAGTTGCCAGAGTTGGTCTGTATCAACGTGTTTCTTAGTTGCATACTCGTTTGAGCACCAGGCTTCTAGGTATTCCCTGACTGCACTTTTGGTGTCTCTTCTGTTTCAAAATGTCGACATTATCCCAAGCAAACTCATGTCCATAATTATCTACATGGATTGATATGAAACAGGAATATATATATCATGTCTTTTCACAGCTGACTGGTGTTCCTGGATCCTGATTCTTCGAAAGGGATGCCCACTTTGCCCGATGTATTATGGCTGCTACAGTTCATACATGCAATTGATTTTGTAAATGGTACATCACCAAAGCATAAAATTTTTGGAAATAACTCTTTATTCCTCTCATAACACTCGATTAAAAGTCGATTTCATCAAATATTCATAGACCTTTCAATATTATTTTTTTCCATTAAAACTAGTGTTCATTACAAATATTCTATTAAGAAGTCATACCATCATCAATCCTAAAAGGTGTGCATATATGTTTACACATGTTGTAAAACGAATACCTTCATTCAAGTGTTGGTTTGTAGGGATTTGATTGATTGGTTCCAGGATTTCATCGTCAGCTGATATTAGTTAAAGAACCATTGGAAAACCAGTCCGGAGTACTGGACAGCTGTCTCGTCCTAGTTTGGGACTCTTCATCAGTACACACCCGACAGGATTCGAACTAATGTCAGCTCATGATGAAACCCTGTAACCAACCAACTAAATCCCTACAAACCAACACTTGAATATCAATGAGTATGGTACTCACAAGCGACTTGCCCTATTCAGGTTGGTAGTTAGTTAACTGGGGTTCTAGTGAGAAGTCGTGACCAGTAGGGTGCAGCAGGTCGGGTGTGAGGACAAATACTCGCCATGGATGACATTGGCTACGGGTCGGGCTATGTCGTGAATTGGCAGAAGTTACAATTCATGGACTGGCGATTGAATCGGGTTCCAGTGGCTTAATGGTCTACGAGTTAGCTCGCCTTGTAACTAGAAGGTCCTGGGTTAGACCCCTGGTTGTGAGTGCGTGCTGCTGAGGAGTCCCAAACTAGGATGGAGGAAACAGCTGTTCAGTACTCCTAGGTTTTCCAATGGTTATCTAACTAATATCAGCTCATGATGAAATCCTAAATACCTAATTCCTTATCAAGAAATTAGCAATACTGTCATGACTGCAATTAGAAATTAAAGCTTGCATAGTTAAACTATCGCAACCACCACCATTATTAAGTAGAAGCTCCTAAATGATGTTGAACAGTAGGTCAGTCAGTCATAGAAATGCGACATTAAGACTGGACGAAATTTTTAGCACACTGTATTCCCATACATTTAGACAGTTTTAACCCTTTCCCTAGAAGTGTAATAATAAGGTGGTTACTCAACTAAGCATAATAAGATAATCCAAGACTTTAGACAAGCAACAAGTTGGCGACAGAAGAAGCATCCAGCGAAGATAGAACTTCTTTCAGGTGAACACAGAGGAAAGAGAGGTACGTGATGAAGATTCCTGGCCAACACCAACAGCAACAACAACAACAGACAACAATCAGCCGGCATAAATCGGAGGAGCCTGAAAGAAACAACCTACTTCATCAACCCACCTACCTGGGAAGCATCGTTTCAACTACAGGCTAACGGAACTCACGAGGATATCAAAGCAGCGCGGATCGGAAAAGCAAGACAAGCTTTTATTACTCTCAAAACTTTGTGGAGGTCAACAGCACTCACAATCAAAAATAACATCCGGATTTTCAACTCCGATGTCAAGTCAGTGCTACACTACACGGACCACAGACATGGCCAGCGCGTCATAAAGAGCATCTCAAACAAACTACACACCTTCATCAACAGCTAGCTGTCTTAGCTCAATACCACTCAAGATCAGATGGCCGGCCAGAACAGATCAGAAACAGGGATCTCTGAAAATGAGCGAACCAACCAACCAACCAGGAACCGATTATGAAACAAATAGGCAGGAAGAAATGGAAATGGATTGGCCATACTCTGAGAAAACAAACCATCAAGTGACATCACTAGACAAGCCATTGCTCGAGTGGAACATGGCCGAAAAGGAAGCGGCGAGTTGGTCGCCAGTGTAAGGGTGACTTGGAGGAGGTCATGTGAAAAGGAGATGAAAGCATGTTGGCAGAACTGGAATCAGGTGACAACTTTAACAGAGAACCAAACGCAATAGAGACGCGCGGCTGAAGCTCTATATTCCTCTGTTTGTCTGTCTGTTTTCGACATAGAACTTTACACAAATGTGCGGAAGTTCAAGTCGCCACACTCCGTGTAGCACGCGAAGCAAGAGAAGAAAGTACAAGAAAAGCATAATAGAAACAGTGAGCAGATGTTCCTATGTTCCTCTAGGAGTTAAAGGAAATAATAATACTTTAGACAAAAGTGGCAAGCTGGATTAAAAGGAAACTCTAAACGCAATACATGCATGCATGTTGTTCATAATAAAAAATTTAGTTGGTTGGTTACAAGGTGATTTTAAAAGTCTTTTTCAGTCGATTTATAGCTGCTACAGTTTTCGTTTTAAAATTCAAATGGGAAGCTTCTGTGGATTAGTATTTTTTTCATTTCAGAGTCAACTATAGTTATAAATACATTCAATTCATAATTTGGAATATTGTGAGTTTGATTCATGGCATCATCAGTTCTCCCCCCCCCCCGCGCCAGTGTAGCTAGTCAGAAATTCGATGGTTTGAACTGATCTGAGTCAGACCCCCGGGTACACCGTTGATATGCTTGGCCCGAAACGACAAAAACAGCCGTCCAGTGTTAAGATCACTTCGAGTTGACTGGCTGGCTAGCACGCAAACTTCATTTTTTACTGGTTGATGTCAGTGATGTCCAACTACTCATGCCAGTCAATAAGTAGTATATAGTCTTTGATGCAGCATTTAAACTAATTATGCGCTATTCACACAGTTTTGAGATTCGGTATCTATCCCCTTAATCACAAATAATCACAAAATCACAAGTTGTGACCACTGGGGGGTGCACTTGGTCGGATGTGGGGACAAATTACTCGCCAGTGATAACACTTGCTAGTGGTCGAGCTATATCGTGAATTGGCTGAAGTTAGAGCTAATCGGCCAATGACTTAGTGGTCTACGAGCTCAAAACGTGGTGAGTACTAACTGGCGATGAGTCCGAAACCAGGATGAAACATTTGTCCAGTATTTGCTATTGCCTTTCCAATGGTTCTCTAGCCAACGCGTCAGCTCAACAAAATTGTTTAATCCAACCAATCAGTTAACAAACTTACCCACTCACTGACATACGACTTTAGATTTAATTCCAAATACACTGTGCATGCAGACGACAAATGGAGAGGGAGGGGGAGGGGAGATGGAAGCACATTCATTAAGACAACAGAAAATCAAACTGGAGAATAGGAAAATATAAAAAACCGAAGTCTCCGCATACACACACACACACACACACAAAAGACGAAACCGACTCCGTGAAGTAAAGTAAAGTGAAGCAGTGAGCATGCAATAAATCTATCTCCCCGACGACCCCCACATCATCAGCATAATAATAATTATTTAGGCTAATTCAAACTCACAAATAATGAAGAACCAGATTGGATACCCATATTAGAGAATGGAATGGTAAGCTATTCGATGAATTAGAAGGGGAAATAATAGTCATGCATACATACATAACATTACTAAATTAAAAAGCATAAATATATGAAGTTAAAAAGTAAATATTTATTTATTTAAAACATAGACTCGGTCCATTATGCGCACCAGGAGACGCGCCAACTTAAATATATAAAACAGAGAGAGAATGAATGAATGAGGGATGTCATCCAGAAAAAGGGAGGAAGCATATCTCTGTGTCAAGATCATTCATCACTTCATGTTACTTTCAAAAAGGCAAGAAAGAAGGAAATTGAAGCAGGTGAGAGTCTTGACCATATCGGATAACGTTTTAAGCCACCGGTTCAAAATACCTTTCGGATCCTATCCATGGAGTCGTGTTGCACCAACTAATGCCACGTCATAAGCTGACCACCACTCCGTTTTCTCCCTCCCGTTCGAGGGCTACAGGAGAAAGACTGATATGGAAGTGGCTGGAATGATATTCGTAACACATGTCCAGACCACCGAAGCTAGTGTTTACACAAGACGACATTCAATGAATGGTGATATCAACCGTGATCAAAAACACGCTGCCGGATTTCAGAATTAATTACACGATGATGTCAACCGACGCAAGCAATTCTACAGGAAGAGAGACGATCTAATACAGCTTCTCAGGTACGCCTCCCTCTAAAACACACTTTTAGAGAGCAGTTCTGTCCAACGAATGGAAGGTAGTCTTAATATCAAGAAACACAACGATAGTTAGACTGCAATACATTTCAACAACTGCCTAATGGTGAACACATGATCGATGCATCCACGACCTGGACGAAATCTAGTCTAATTTTGCGAATCAACCCCTCACGTGTTGTGCACAGCCAGCAAAGCAACACAGTAGTCAATATTTTAGACACAACTGATGGCAAACTAGTACCCCTATGGATGTAGCACGTATTACATCTGCTCTTTTTAAAGATGATAGCTTCATTCCACATTGATGGAACATGTTAAATTTTCCATACTTTCATAAACAATTCATTCAGAGGCATGACGAGAATCTCGCCATCATCTTTCAAAAGAGCCCAGAAGTAGATTGTCTGAGCCTGGTGCATTATGGGGTTGTTTTCGGACCATTCCGATTGGTGGGTCGGTATTGGCCGACCAAGGAGCACTGTGGCTGATAATGTTGGATATGAAGAATTCCATCATGGAATAAAGTTATTTGAATTCTTGGAGGCCAGATTAGTTTTCCTTCACGTTCCCCAGTGGAACATAGGGCTTCAAGCTAGTGGCTTGAAGTTCTTGTAGCAGTGTTTATTTTACAGGATGGGGTTGCTAGCCTCGTGCTCAACCTTACCTCTTTACCAGAATTATTTCTGGCTTAGCGAGGTAAAGGAGTGCGTCTGTGGCCGGGAATCGAACCCCGGCCCATGTGCATGGTCGGTGGGCGTCCTAACCGCTATGCCACCAACGCACTCCAGGTACTAAAATCAATTTGCAATTAACAGGAATGTATATATATATATATATATATATATATATATATATATATATATATATATATATATATCGATTAAATCTATCAATCAAAATAAAAAACTAAATGACATGAATGAAGGGGCTGACCCTACTACTACTACTACTACCAGGTCGACAAGAGGATCAATATCAATACAAAAGGATTAAATCATGAGGTAATCTATGTGAAAATAAGCAATCACAGTAAAGAGAGACAGATATCTCACTTTACATATAAAGTGAACGCTTAAGAAGCGAAATAAAAAACTTCATAATTAAACCGACCAGCTCAGCGGACACAATAATCACCGGCAAAATTATTCCTCAATCTTGGGAAGAATTGTCCACCCCCCCCCGCCTTTCAGATGTTCAAACATGAATCCCCAACTGCTGACAGCATACACTACAGCATCACCACGCCACCACTTATATCACGATTAATCTGTATCAGGTGTACAAACAAGTTACTCGGCGGTAATCGATGTAGCATTCCGTATTTCTCACACCTAATTAGAATCTGTCTACCACGTGTATGTGTGTGTACGGTGTATATTAGACTTTATTGCTCTACTGTACTCTGTAGGAGCATTCCAAAGATTTAACACACGAAATGAAATTATATATGTTTGATTTCAGACGCTGACTAAATGCAGCGACTTCTCAGTACCACGAGCAGAAATGTTAGAACGCTTGGCATGCGATTCTCTTCCCTTTTCAAATATAAGATGATGCCACAGGACTGGAATGGACTATATTGACTCACTCCTAGCTTAAAGATAGGCATGAGTAGTGAAGTAGTTTGGTGGGGAGCGTGTTGACCACTTCACTTATTTGGGAAGTTATATCAGCCGCCAGCCCTAGAAGGTTGGTCGCTGGCGAAATCTTAGCACCGATAACATTAGGCTCGTATAGGATTAACCTACCTGCAACGCCTTTGGCGTAGACATGATATCTGGTTGGCTATCGGTCAAAGGATGTGAGTACTGCTTACCAGTTCACTCCGGCCTACTTTACAGGTGACTGTGAGACATGGCCACTCAAACGGAAAGACATGAAAAGGCTAGTTGTCTTTGTTCATAGCTATCTGCGCTCCATCTCCTGTGTTACGTGGTATAATAGAGTGAGCAATATTAAGTTTAAATATCCACTGTTAGATGAGAAGGCTAAGTAAATCGGTGAGGTTGTCAAGCTACATCGATTGAGATAGCTAGGACATGTGATACGTATGCCAAGCCATCGCCTTCGCCGACAGGATCAAGTTGGTGATCAAACACCAAAGGCATGGCATCAATCCATGAAATCTGAACCACGTAAGGAGGTGTAGACTGTCTGGTTGGGGTCTATCGGGTGCTAAAAACCAGCGAAGGCTGTAGACAATTGGTCGTGGATATGGCTCAAAATCGTTTTCGGTGATGGCTGGAGCAGATGCAATCGCTCTCTGTGATCATCCATATCCATTAAAGCCCGATGGTTTTCCCGTGTTACTATCCTTTCTTTCTTTCTCTCTTGTCTGCCTTTGTGTGTTACATGGAGGGAGCGTGGCAACTTGAACTGTTGCACATCTGTACAGAGTTCTATGTCTGTCTGTCTGTTTTCCACATAAAACTTTGTGAGGCAGTTCAAGTCGCCACACTCCCTCTATGTAGAACACAAACCAACAGAAGAAAGTAGAAGAAATGTATAACAGAGACAGTAAACAGAGCTGTGAGACAAAGGAAGAGTAATAATGAAGAACAAAACAGTTTCATTGGAAATCATAAGCCACAAGGAGTGGATGCATCTGCGCCGGCCATTGAGAACAATTTTGAGCCATGTCACCAATTGTTTTCAACCACTGGTTTTTACCGTCCCGAGGACCCCAACCAGCTAGGAAGTCTACACCTCCCTACGCGAGTGGCTTAAACTAACTATTGTGGATTTTATTGACTGGTGCCACCATGTTTTGGTTTGACCGCCGCTAGCTCTTTTTCAGCCTGACTCTATGTCAGCCCGTCGAAGAAGGCGATGGCCTAACCATCTCAGTCGATGTAACTTCACAACCTCGTCGATTGATTACTCCTGCACTCGATCGACGCCTAACCTCAATATTGCTCACCTTCTATGTTGAAACCAGACAGGCAGTCAATCAGTAATTCCAGGGATATCCATCCATCAGTCAATAAAAACACACGTCCACACACACATATTTATCAAAAATCACATGATAGAACAAAATAATTCTGGATTGAAAAAGACACTGGGGCATAAAACACAACTCACATAAACATTAGAATAGGCTGAGCCAACTTTATTCTCGAAAGATTTGTATGCATTAGATTGGCTAAAATGGTTTACAATAAAAATTAAAATAAGTTAGATGGAGTTATTGCATAACACAGTTTTATTATAATTCAGATTGTAATAATATTCTTCCACTAATATTATAAACAACACATGTCATTTGAACTTAGTTCCCAGAAGACGTCATTTATGTTCTTAGCTAAGAGCCATACATGAGTGTTGAATGAGGGTTGATGATACTCCCCAGTTGCCGAAGTTAATTTTTTTTATTTTGTTTTTTTTATTTTTTATTTACAGCTTGATTCCACACTGTATTTCCGGTACAAGTATGGAATTTTCAGCATGGATATCGGTAGCCCAAATTTTGCAGGCCGACCATAGATATCAGATGTGCGTCGGTGCGGGCTCGAACCCTGGACCATGTGCATGGTCGGCGAGAGTCCTGACCACTGTGCCACTGACGCACAGATGGTGGAGGGGGACTGAGACCAGGGGAGGCCCACTGGATAAAAGTTGAGTGTTTAAGTTAACGAGCCTCATCTCTGCACACAAACTACACCTATTACGTTAACATGACAACGATAGCTTATTACTGATTAACAACTTCCCGACAGAAAATAACATTTCCATGCAGAAGATTTCAAAAGCCATCGCTCATCGAGGAAGTTGGTAGTTCGGCATGTCTAGCACTTGTCCCAACTACACACACACACACACTCTAACTAAGTTGATAAAACTCTACAATATATCATCGATTGAACTGCCTTTCCTATTTATAACAATAATATACTCAACTTTATTATTAATTATTACATTGTTCTGTGTCATTTAAGAAACTTAAAGATGATAACAATAGTCTAAACTGCTCAATCGTTTTATATCTACTTTGAGATGTCTACGCCATCTCTGGCGTAGACGTGATATCCGGCTGACTATCGACCAAAGGGCGGGTGTACTGCTCAGAAGTCCGCTCCGTCCTCCTTTATGGCTGTGAGCAAGACATGGCCATTGAGAGTGGAAGAGATGAAAAGGCTAGATAGATGTCTTTGATCATAGGTGCCTGCGCTCCATCTTCCGTGTGAAGCGGTACAATAAGGTGAGCAATATTGAGGTTAGGTACCGGTCGAGTGCTAGGTGAGTTGGAGGGGAAATCAATCGACGAGGCTGTGAAGCAGTTACATCGACTGAGATGGTTAGGACATGTATTACGCATGCACGCCTAGTCATCGCCTTCCTCGACATTGGGCAATGTTAGCTGACTGACATATATTCAGGCTGGAAAAAAGCTAGCGGCGGTCAAACCGAAGCATGACGGCGCCAGTCAATGAAATCCACAACAGTTAGTTTAAGCCAGTCAGCCACGTAGGAAGGTGTAGACTTCCTGGTTGGCGTCCTCGGGACAGTAAAAACCAATGAAGGCTGGAAACACTTGGTGATATGGCTCAAACTCATCGTTCTCAATGGCTAGCGCATATGCATCCACTCCTTGTGACTTATGATTTCCAGTGAAACTATATTGCTCTTCGTTAATACTATTCCTTTGTCTCACACCTCTGTTTACTGCCTCTATTGTGCATTTCTTCTAGTTTCTTCTCTTGTTTAGTGTGCTACATAGAGGGAGTGTGGCGACTTGAACTGGTGCACATCGGTGCAAAGTTGTTCTATGTCGAAAACAGACAGACAGATCTGCTTTCAGTGGTCATGTCCCAAAGGCTTATAATACAAAGGAAGGATGTGATGTATCTTTTCATATATTCCACTTCCAATGGTCATGTCTCTCACAGCCAGCCATCAAGGAGGATGGAGTGAACTGCTGAGCAGTACACACGTCCTTTGATTGGTAGCCGACCGGATATCATTTCTACGCCAAAGATGATGTAGGTAGGTAAATCTCATACCAACCTACTGTATCTGTGCTGAGATTTTGTCAGCGATCAACCTTCTCGGGCTGGCTGATACGAATTCCCAAATAAGTGAAGTGGTCAACATGCCCCTATTTCTAAGCTAGGAGTGAGTCAATGTATTCCAGTCCAGTCCCGTGACATCATCTTACATTTGACAAGGGGAACGAATCACATGTCAGACATTCAAAGAGTGCTGCTGAAGATGTTCAGAATACTCTGCACTTAGTCACTGTCTTCACCTAGGAGGGAGGACTATTTCATCTGCACATTCTAAGTTAACAAAACTATTCCCCGGTGGTAACAAATCAAGTCACTGAAGTCAGTATTTAGGATCAATTCTATTAGTACATCTATGATGAAATTAAACAGAAAGGAGGACAATAGGCATCCTTCGTTGACGGACACCACTGGTTGTTATCACCTGTGACGAAGGCGACGCAGATTATTGGTAGATGCCAAATAGCTTTTGCGTAATTTCAATATGGAGATATTCATTAAGAAAAAGAAATAGAAAGTAATCTAAGATTAAGAGAGATGAGATTCTTTATCTCAACAAAATGACATCACTACTACTGCGTCTCAGTGGGGAAAAACCAACTTCAACCTGAGGAACAGAACAGCAGCCTTTGGTTACCCCCACCTCCCAACAGGAAGCAACTAGAAATTATCAAAAGAATGGATACTGAACAAAGAGTACTCTTTTCGATAACCACCTGCCCTTCATCAGGCTCTACAGTTATATGCATCCATTCATAATAGTGAATGAATGAATTAGTATTATGAACAACATTAATGTTGCTGTTTAAATAACATCGAATGAATAATAATGATATCAGTGGATTACAATTTGATAGCATCAAAATGAAATAAGCTGAATGTCAGAAAAATTAGGAAAGATAATATTACAAATTCTTATTCTCTACACGACCGATGGTGATTCCTCGACTGAAAGATGAAATATCTAGACTAGCCACTTCTAATTGTATCTATCAATTCAACTGCGCTTGTGGAGCCAGTTATATTGGTCGTCGCTCAAAGAACTTGATTTTTCGTGCTCTAGAACATCTCCCAGCATGGATAAGTAAAGGTGTAATGAAAACTAGTAACAGCCCGATATTGGAACATCTGGCGCTAACAGGCCACGAATCCAGCATTGTAGAATCCTTCTCTATCATCTACCGGGTGCCTAATAAATTACCAAAATCATCGAAGCACCGCATGCACCAAACACCAGAGGCTATTGCAATTCGCCTAAAAAAACACCTGTGCTGTGTGTTCGAAAGAAGCAAGTCCAACCTCTACTACTGCCTTGGCCTTCAGTAGAGACTATAAATTCATGAATTTGTAATATTATCTTTCCTAATTTTTCTGACATTCAGCTTATTTCATTTTGATGCTATCAAATTGTAATCCACTGATATCATTATTATTCATTCGATGTTATTTAAACAGCAACATTAATGTTGTTCATAACACTAATTCATTCATTCATTCACTATTATGAATGGATGCATATAACTGTAGAGCCTGATGAAGAGCAGGTGGTTATCGAAAAGAGTACTCTTTGTTCAGTATCCATTCTTTTAATAATTTTAATGGGCATTTTTAATCAACTAGAAATTAATTAAAACGTACAAAGCAATAAGTGTACTGCTTTCAACTTATTGGTTTCACCACAATAATTCTGCAAAGTATTATTATGAAACCCTTATAATATCAACTGTTTCGAAATGAATCGATTCATTCCACACATTGGGTATTTTTTTAATTCAATGAATAATGAATTTTTACAAAAAAAATCTCAATTTGTGAGCACACACACACACAAAAAACAAAATAGAGAGACGTAGCATACCGTAGTAAATTCCATTTCTCATATATTACAGCGGATGTCTTGTCTTTAGCAGTTTTCACGACAGCTGAAGTTTTCTGGTATCTAAAGGAGATAATAAACACAGAAAACAGGTTATTCTTTTTTTATATTTTAAGTGTAAGTGTAAGCAAAATCTCTCATGAATAGATAGATAACATGAACAAATCAACATGACAAATGGAATTCACAGTCCGTATCACAATAACTAAGGACTAGGAGACCCATGACACTAGTTCTTACACCACCTAGTTTCCACACAGTCCTACTGGGAGATCAGTCGTGGGTCCAAGTAGCTCAGTGGTAATGTTCTAACAGCAGAAGACAAGGGCCAGGCAACAACAGATCGTTTATTCAGGAAATTAACACATATTTATGGCTTTTCATGTACATTATTATAGATTATTGTTAGCAGACAAACATAGTCTTCTGATTGGTAGTTGTTTCTCACTGAAAGTTGACCTTGAGTCTCTTTGTGACTGTTTCTTGAATGTCAGATCATCTATATGCTACCTGTATCCGCCTACACAGTCTGCTGTGATTGGTTGTTGAATCAGTCTTTGTTCATATTTTTCTCATGACTAATATTGAGGACGTAAACATTGGTTAGGTGGTTTAATAAGGTAAGTAATGTTGACGTTAGGCGTAGAGCGTTGGGCAGGCAAACAGGGAAAATCAATCGACGAGGCTATAAAGTTACATAAATTGAGATGGCTAGGTCACGTGCTGCGCATGCCTAACCATCACCTCCCTCACCCCCGGACGGGCATTACTAGCTGATATAGATAGTTGGAGGCTGGAAAAGAGTAAGTGGTGGCCAAACAAAAACATGGCCTCATCAATCCATGAAATCCTTGACAGTTAAACTCAGTCAGGTAGGGAGATGAAGACTTCCGGGTTGGGGCCCTCGGGAATGACTCTAGGAATCAATGGCTGGAGACTTGGGGGTGACACATGGCTCAAAATCGTTGTCAATGGCCAGCGCAGATGTATTCAGTCTCTGTAATCTTTCATATTTCTTTCTACCATTACCCATTCTGTTTCGCTCTTATACCTGTCAAACTCTATTGATCCTCTTCACTCATCTTCTTGTCTACCTTTGTGTGCTATTTGGAACGTGGCAACTTGAACTGGTGCACTTGGGTGCCAAGTTCTATGTTGAATCCAGACAGACAGACGTAAACGTTGACGTAAATTGCTGTCTACCAATTTGGCTAGCAGCCAGCTCTCGCCACAATGTCTTTGAGTCCTTTCAAGATCACAGATACGTTTCAATATATATATATATACGATGTCAGCTCATGATGAAATCCTCCATCCAATCAAACTAAATGCCTACACAAACCAATACTTGAAAATATTATTATTATTGCTCCCTTGGGTTCCTAGTGGAACATAGGGCTTCAACTGCACGTCTCCACTTGCCACTTCTGTCTTCTGCTGTACTTTTCACCTGAATCCATGTTAGTCCATACTGTTTCAGCTCCTCTTCACACGATCTCCTCCATGTCACCCTTGCACTGACGAACAACTCACCGCTTCCCTTTTGGGTTGAACTCGACGAATGGCCTGATGTGCGCGCGATGTCACCCAGCGGCCTCCTCAGTGAGTGTCCAATCCATCCAATCCACTTTCTCCTGCATATTTGTTGGTTGGCGATTGGTTCTTGTTTTGTTTGTTCCCATAGTCTCTTGTTGGTGATTCTTTCCGGCCCGGTCATCTGATCTTCAGTATAGATCCAGCGGAGACAGTTGTTGATAAAGGTCTGCAATAGCCTGTTGGAAATATTTCTTGTGACCCAACCGCCAAGTTTCTGATCCGTATAGAAGAACTGACTGACTTGACGTTTGTATTGAAAATCCGACTGAATTTTGTTGTTGATGCTGGCTGAGTGATGAAGATTTCCAGATTAGATTCAGGTTGATGAATGTGTTTCTCGCCTTCCCGATTCTCGCTTGATTTGACATCCTCGTCCGTTCCTCCTCCTGTAGTTGAGACAATGCTCCCTAGATAGGTGAATGAATGAAGTGACCTCTTTGAAATCCCTCCCGTTGATGGTGATTGACGCTGGATGTTGTTGTTGCTGGTTGATTATTTTCATAACCTCCGTCTTGTCTATGTTTACTTGGAGTCCTGTCTTCGCTGGCTGCTTCTTCGACCAGTTTGTCGGTTTTCGCTTGTAAGTCTTCGATTTTGTGACAGTGACATCAAACATAAATCATCCACGCGCGAAATCCAGGTCTTCTAGGTTCTTCACGTCAGTCCAGCATATTCCTCTCTTCTCGATTCCCACTAACTGACGCATAATCCAGTTCACAATTGGGAATATCATTGGTGATAATAGGCAGGCACCCTTGGCTGACTCCTGTGTCTACTCCAAACGCCTCACTGCATGCATATATTTTTCACTGTGAATAAAGTGATATGAACTGGGAAGTTAGAAAATGAAATGCACAACTGAATATACGCTACTTTTCATGTTTATCATCATATGCAACGAAATATTTGCGAAACTCTAACAACTAGCATTTTCATTTTCTAGAAACAATACTTATATGTCGTCAAAAATTGAGTCAGTAGTCCAACAGTCGGATGCTCGACAACCACGCGCGTGTTTCACGATTCAATCCCCGACCGACCGATGGTAATAGACCAAGGAAAGAGGGAGGTTTGGGCTAGATGATGCTAGCAACTCCTCCACCCCCCGCATAAATATGATACAACTCTTACTGCAACTACGAAGCCCTGAAGCTTGAAATCCTGCGTTCTACTGGGAACAAAAAGGTGTACAATTGAAACTAATAAAACTAAAATTAAAAACTACCAGTAGGGTGCAGCGGGTCGGGTGTGAGGACAAATACTCGCCGGAAACATTGGCTAGGGGTCACGCTATTTCGTGTTTTGGCAGAAGTTAGAATCAAAGGACCATTGGAACGGGTCCCAGTGGCTTAATGGTGTACGAGATCGCCTTTTAACTAGAAGGTCCTGGGTTCGAATCCCGGTGTGTACTGCTGAAGAGCCCCAAACCAGGATGAAACAGCTGTCCAGTACTCCCAGGTTCTCTAATGGTTCTCTAACTAATGTCAGCTCATGACGAAATCCTAAAACTACTTTTCTTTTAAAAACTATGAATTGCTTTGTGGCAACTCAGTAGGCAGTCATCGAATTAAGCATTCGAATTCCAACCATTCAATCCCATAGGCAAAACTGCGTCTATGCAGACAGGGAGAATATGTCCTTGTAATACAAGAGTTATGCTCCATTGTCAAGGGGACTAATATACCTATGATGGTTGAACAGTTAGTTACAGTTAGCCGGCTAAACCCAGGACCCATTGGTTTAGATTCGAGTATTTTCGCCAATGAGACACATCTTCACACACTTCTGTATAAAAATATTGCTATATACAATCATCATTTCTTAGTTAATAAGTCAGAATTAGTAGTAAACGCTACACACCAATCACAGATAGGAGTAACTGGAAATACTGGTCAACTAAGCCAAAATGACTCAAATACTAGACAACAGTTCGGCGTCTCTGAAATCAGTTGGACACGCCAGTTTCATACACAAGCTAAATTAGCTTAGATAACTAACTGTCTTGTTCAAATCACCTTAATTCTAGGCAGCTGCTACTTGAGGCAGACGGATGGAAAGGAGAATGAGATAGAATCCGGTCAAGTACATGATGAGGAAAGGCTACATCAAAATACGTAATACAACTACTGCTTACGCATCACTAGTTCGTAAGGTATCCAAACCTTGTTTAACTTCACTTTTGAGTTCAGCAATCGGTGTAATACCAAGTTGACGTTTTAAATATTGTTGACGTCGAAATTTCGATAGGAGAACTTGTCTCAATGTTTGGATTTCATCTTCCACCTAGAGAAAAAAAAGAGTGCACAGAAACGATAGATTATGAAACATTACATCATTACATTCAAAGCCTACAAAATGTGACTTATCAACCGTACCCAAGAAAATACTTTACATGAGCTTGCAATTCAAAGGGGACTACTTAGCTTCCGATATCATGAAACGAAGGATAACACAGTCCCTGAAGAGAACATCCCCTGCTGCACCTCTGAGAATAGCCTTTACCAGTCGATCATTATTGTTCAATAGCCTGAAGGACAAGATCCCGCTGTTGACCAACTCTGTGTGTGTTTATCCATTCACCTGCTCGTGTCGAGCTAGCTAGGTATATCCTGTTACGAAGGTGACTGAGTCTTAGAACGATGAGTGATGCTTGAATCTTGAAAAGACGAATGAACCAAGAATTTAGGCTTTATTCATTTTACAATGAAGCCGGAATGGCTTAAACGTATAAAGGGAAAAAGAGTGGTAGAGATATGAATATCATTAGATACGTATTATAAGAAAAGTTCACAACATATCGGTCGTTCGACTCGAGTTTCGTCCAAGAGGATGAAAGAACACTAGCCTGCCTGGTTACGAAGAGGTGGAAGTGGAGCAATAAGAAGCCCGATCATTGAACATCTGGTCGATAATGATCACCCTATCTCCGCCTTTAAAGTCATCTACACGGCAAAGAGTAATTTACCCAAATCCCTACGTACCCGACTCATCTGTATTGCTGAAGCCATCTTTGGCCATCGAAACAGAAAAACCAGATCTCTGTGTACAGAAAACGTTCGTTCAACCCCTCCAACTTTCACGTGTTGTGGTCTTAATCCCTCTATGCTAAAGTATGGTAATCCCCAATCATATTTTAGCTCTACCAATTTTTCATTTTTTCATTTTGTTTATTCAATTCGTATACTCTTCCTTATTATGTCAATTGTTATTATTACTATTCTCACTTCGAACTGTCCCCGGTATTATTTCACTTCTTCCACTTGTCATTCTAAATCAATTCTTTTTTACAACGATAAATTCTATGCTATTAAATTCCACACAATATTAAGTAGCGTTTCTGTTTTATTCGATTTGTCTACTAATCCTATAATTGCACATCTTTTTTTCGAGTTCTATCCCTCCTATGAATTATTCTATATGTGACATTAATTTGCTTTGCCACTTGACATTTAACTACGATTATAATCACAAACATTTTGGTTTTAATTGCACTTCATATTATTATTATTATTTTATGCATTCACACCTAAGATTCAATTCCCTCACAGGGTATAACTTCTTAAAAACACCATATATATACGACTGTACAGCTTGATGATAAATTCGTTGAAAAGAGTCTCTTCACTGAGTCACTTGTTATGATTTTCTATACATCATTAGCAGTCACATAAAATTCAGATGCCTGGAAGAGATTTCCATATATCAGACCAGCAGCCACACGTACTCTATGAGAGGTAATAACCTCACGCAGACTGCAGTTGGTAGAGTGGTATTTGAACTCAGGAACCGTTTGCTAAAAAAAGAGCACTTAGACTAACGAGCCACACTTCTCCCAAACAATAATATCCATTCAGATATAACAGAACAATATCTGTGCTCTTTAACTTCTTTCTTGGAGTTTTTCATTGTTGGATCTAAGTTACTCAAAAAAGATCTTTTGTACACCAGAGCCACACTTCTAGTGATGGTACCTAGCTGACCAAATTGAAGTATGTGAAGTGGGACTCGGACCCGTATCCTACCTGTTGAAAACCGAGTGCTCAGCCAATAAGCCACATTTCGAGTTGCAAAGAAAGCCAAATAGGAAAATTGAGACAAATTTTTCATGTATTTTAACGCCTTTACATGAATCATTAGTGTCTTGGCTCATAGTCGATGGATGTGAATAAAAATCCTCTTAAAATGAAAAACAGTACAGCGGAACTGTCATCTCCCTTCTAACCTTTTAGTCCTTGCACCTACTCACTTGAAATTCATCGGAAATCACCGTCTTGAATTCAATAACTGCAAATATGCTACAGGGAACTAGCATCAGAAGTGGATGATGTTAAAACGGAAATGTATTTAATACTTGACGCTCGTTTAATGTTTGAATTTAATTCAATAAAAAAACATTTAAAATCTAGATTTTTCGACAGTTACAGGGAAAACATATTTTCTATGTATGTACATACTCATCTGCAAATTGTCAAATCCACTTACCTGCTTCAATTCCTCTGCCCATTGTGCCTTCATTCTTGTAAGTGAATCACCAGTGAGACTATTCTCCCTTGAGACATCAACTCCAGTTGGAATATTACCGCATACTTCATCTTCATTTGTCTCAAAATAATGTTCTAAAAAAAAGTTAACGTTTATTAAAGGATATCAAAATAGTGTGACATATAGCTGCACAGATATGATTTACTTCCATGTAGATTTCATCACAAACCAACATCTGTTAAAGAATTATTGAAAAACAAGGAGCAGTGTGAACCTGTTTCATTCTGCTTTGTGAGTTCGTACTCTAGTGACTTCACAGGTCCACGCTTTTTGGGACTCTGAAACTACGGTGAAACAGCTATCCAGTGCTCCATGGCTTTCAATGAGTCTCTAACCAGTGTCAGTTTGTCAAAAGAACTACAGCGTAATATATATACAGTAAAAGAATGTCATTATAATCTCCATAAGTAAATTTAATAGCCTGAAAATTGTATACATAGTGTAAGTAACAACTATGATGTAAATTTTCACACATAAAGCAGACATAAGCAACTGAGATTTTTAGAAAAAAACGCCAACATACTTAAACCGTAACTTCACGAATACTTTAGAACATCCTGTGTACACTGACAACTTATTACGCCCTCCATATTCCTCATTACAGTAAAACAGAGAATTCTAGCCTTATAGGAAACAGATCACCCAAGTACTCTATGCAACATACGTCAGACCTCATCTAGAGTACTGCATACAGACGGCGAGTCCATGCTTCAAAAAGGAGACACATATGATGGAAAGAGTACAGAGGGTAGGAATGAAATTAGTTAGAGGTATCTCACACCTTCCTTATGATATGAGGATGGAGTATTTAAATATCTTCCCATTATCATACCGAAGGAGGAGAGGAGACTTAATTTTGGCTCACCGTATATTCAAGGGTGATTTAGGGATTGGCCTTTCAAACCATTTCTCTCCCTCTAGGATTCATTTACGAGGTCACCACAAGAAAATGCTCAAACTGAAGTCGAATAAATTACGTTTGGAGTTTAGATTCTCTCACAGAAATGTCAACGACTATGGCTCCTTATCTGATTCAGTGGTAACAGCTCTATTGGTGAATGCTTTCAAAGTGAAACTGCATCTCTGCAGACATATACATCTCTAAGATTAACATAGGCAACGAGAGCCTTCTATACTTATGTGTATCTGAAAACCAGAACGAACAATGGTGTACTGAGTCAACCGGAATTTTTCCTAGCATACCAAGGAACCTGCTGCAGAAATTCAAGTAGTTATGCACAATATGAACAACTAAAAGGTGCACAAGTAGCACGCATGCCGGCAAACAATAAACGAACTATCAAGCATGTCGTGTGGAAATACATTCTCACAAAACACTTCTAACAAGAAAAAAAACATAAATGCGCCAAATGAGACTTTTCATTAACATTAGTCTTTAGATTGGACGTTTACATAAACCTCACTAACCATCAAGATATGGAGAATCCATGAGAACAGTTTGTTGCGCAACAGTCAAGCTAGGCGGCAAACAGTAAACAATATTTTAGTTTTAGAAGTATAAAGTCAGACACAGAACTGTTTATTTTATGTCGGCTAGTTCTGTTTTTAAGCTATTGGACTAAACTATTTTGCAAAAGTCATTTATTTTACGGTGATACAATACCCAAAAAAGTGTTCAATATATAAAGTAATTGTGATGAGGTTTTACCAACTCATTGGCGTATCCGGGCCTGATAATCGATATCCATGGCCAATTTTAGGTCTTTTCTGCATTGCAATACAACAGGTCTATCTCATCAGGTCCTAAATCTCTCTTAAGTTTGGTGACGGATTGACGTCAATTTGTTCCGTTAAAGAGTTTAGAGTATTTCCCAGTTTAATCATATTTTGCCTGAATAGCCACAAGGAAACCTCTGATACACGTCAGATACATGTCACAAGAGCAGGCAATTAATGTGAGAGAAGAATAGAAAGAGAAAAAATAACAAAAACTGGGTTGGGTGCACAGTGGTTAGGACTCTCGCCGACCATGCACATGGTCCGAGGTTCGATCCCCTGCCGACACCTAACTGATATCTATGGTCGGCCTGTGAAATTTGGACTACCGATATCTTTGCTGAAAATTCCATACTTGTACGAAAAATACAGTGTGGGATCAAGCTGTAATCAAAAATAAAATAAACTAACAAAAATGATGTGGTACAAATCTATTTATGGAAAGTGAGAAAAACAAACACAAAACATAAAGGCCGTAGACAGAAGAGAGACAGCTATAGAAAGCCTGCATTTTGAAACATTGAACCTTTCCTTCTGTATATTTCTGGGGATTCTGTATATCCCCCTGACCCTCAAATCTACTGGAAGCATTTGGCCTTCACGACTTTTCAAAAAACAGTCTGTGTCAGCACGATGGCCACTCCTGTCACCCCTCCAATATTCTCCTAATGAGCAGCGACTTTTCTCAAAGTAGTGGAGAAACGACGTTTTTAACTTCAATGTATCACAATCGCCGCTTTGGGATAAGGCGAATTACTACTATTCATCTTGTTTATTTAGACAACTATATGAGAAGTTCGGATGTAAACGACAACATGTTAAGTGAAGAGATGAGGTGACCTGGGTTAACTGGAGCCTCCATGTCACATGTAGACCCAAATCACTCCTTCTCGTACGAGCTAGATGATTTGCACTCAGAGAATATCAGGAGGAAATCGTAGACCGACACTTGCTTATCTTTAATGTCACTTGTTTTACTGCACTCGAATTCATCTGAATCCCCCGAGACTCAAGTGAATCGTTTTCATTTATAACAGCTTCCTAAAACTTCATGTGGCTCGTATAGGCACCAGTTTGGAGGATTCCCTCAAAAATTTCAGTTAGCTGAAGCAAAACATGAATTAGTTCAAAAGTTGAGTGGGGGCAATAAGCTGGGTATTTTTTGAAATTTTATGGGAAATGTGGGAAAGGACAGACGTCATTAATTAACATGAGAAACGTGGAGAAAAGATGGAGTGAAGGCCAAAGAAGGGGAAATCTGGAATCGATATCCTACAGAAGGCAAGAAAAGTGGAAATATTGAAATTCTTCGTCACCTTTGGACATCCTAAATAATGCTTTGTAATAACATGCAAATGATAACGTAATTTAGACCTTTGAAGTTTGCCACAAATAGTGTTTCTGATGGGATAAGTATAGACCAATTATGCATGTTTTAATTCGAGGTTATTACATAAGTGTAGAAGGCCTCCAACATCACTTCTAGATCATTTATGCCGCTTTAACCATCGCGCAAATATTGTCAGCAGTTATTCCGTTTTTTATTATAACCCCTCTGATATTTTCACCTTGAGGGCTCAGGGTATAGCAGTATTCATTAGTAGTGTTAAGAAACGCACTAGATACCCTCAAACTAGCCTATTCCCGTTCCCTATTCCTTCGTGCTGCATTATAACCGCTCTACACTGTACGGGAGAAGTAGAAGATAGGTAACCAAATTATTCGATGTTGTTACGGAAACACACCAGTAATAGACCTGTATGTAACATGTGCTCTCTTCCACTAGTTTAAAAATATCAATATTCTTACCCAGAAAGTTTTCCGGCTACAGTTGTTCATGCTTTCTAAGTTGAGACACATAAACGAAAACACACTTTTTCCATCCACACAACACTGTTCATGATGGGCCATCTAGAAGTGGTGTCATTCGTACAACCACATGATAGCAAGATATGAAGGTTTTAGTAATGTATTGCTGGACGGTATGTGAACAGACGCATGAGTTATAGTAACTTCGAATCTGCTAGCAAACAGATGAGATTCACAGCACCTTGCAATGTCAGGCTAGTTACATGCAAAGCAAACCAGTTCTCGAGAGCGAGATGTGCTTCAATAAATTATTTTCAGTATAATTGCGTCCCAATGCTTACTGAAGGTCTTCACTGTTTTCATTCAGATGCCCCATACATCCTTAAATGGTTTTTAGTGCAATAACACCATACTCAACTGTGGTTTGTGTAACTCCTAGGCAAAAGCGGTCATCACCATCAAGGTTATTGCAGTTTGAATTTTTATTGCAATACGATTCTTTCATGCAAAAATTATTTGGACACATAATTCACACTTCCCGTTACTTCGTCTGCCTTCTAGCTGTAAGAGGAAGAAACAAGCTGGTCTTTCTTGGAAAGATGAGTTGTAATTAACGTAATTGCTTGGTGATATGATGACAACAGTCCAAACAGCTATGAAAAAGAGTTCCCAGACATGACTGGAAGATCGAGGACTGTAAATTATACTCCGCAACGGGTTAGTCACTACCTCATTTGGAGAAGTTCGAGGGCATTTTACTGGAAGCCTTCATGAGTATTGATGAAACGAGATACTAGTAATGAAAACATTCGCTCACCCTGGTCAGCTGTGCAATCAGAAAGGACTGAAGGTGCACACAGAATTCAACATATTATTTAACACGTGGTGCTACAAAATTCGCATCTTTGTCAGTGGCGGCTCTGTATCACAGTCACTGGATATTCATTGTCACGTATTTCGAAGCTCAGATTACGTCAGCCTTGGTTCTATTTGTTTTTGACACTACGAGAATCGTACTAAGTACAGTCGTTTTCAAAGATGGTACTCAAACAATTAGTAATGTGCCCCCGTTTGAAGGTGGCTTTGGGCTGCATGCTTCAAACATCCTTGTTAAGTGAGCGAAATTATTCCTAACCACCAACCATTCCAGGTTAATAAAATCAGCTCTGTGGTTGGAACCAAGAACGTCCCTTTGGAGGGAGATCAGAGTTGCAGCTATTACTCTGGGCCTTTTAACACCTTTAATTCCAGAGTAATTTATTAGCCGAAGGAAGAATGTACGAAAATTCGGAGTATTTCAAGATTTCAAATAGAAAAACAGCTTGATGCAAATATTTTATGATAATAATGTAATATATTCTCATTTTTACACGAGAGACGGCATATTTAATAATAATATAATAAAGAACATATATATTACTACCTGTTTAGGATACAGCAGTTGGATTTCGTTTATTGTGAAATTACATGGTTGATGTCTGTCCATGTAGTTGAAGACTGAACGATCAATTCATGGTTGTTTGCTCAAAACCAACTTCCCCAATTTTCGCGGAGGCATCAATACAGTCATCGTCTCATCGGTCGCTGTTCAGTGAGAAGTCAGCAGAAAACCGTCAGAAGTAATATTGTGATTTATTATTGTAATATTTGTTCACAGACCTTAGTTGTAACAGTGTTTATATGTTGGTGTCACAATAAAGAATCCTCGAGTCGCCAATTGGTGTTTTGGTTTTATCGTTCGTTATTACTAAGCGTTTCTGAGAAACTTCAAGGAACAGCGAAAGCCCGAGTGCAGCAAGAGCTGGGTATTAACGGTTTATGAGACATGGCTGACCGTTTCTGAAGGAACAACGTCAGCATTTAAACGGATTTGGACAGTTGGAGCGACTTTGGATAACCACCGTTCATATGTCCTCGTACCGGCCAAGTCCTCTTTCAACAAGCAATATCTGCAAGGATTTTGGAATCGGGTCAAGTTCAACAATGCCTGGGTCAAAGAAGGGACAGAGCGTCTTGGATGCAAACAGGAAAGTAAGCCATGTTGACTTGTCTGTTAATTGTAACGATGTGTCTGATGTTAAACATGACGTAGTTGATGTTATTGTTCCACCGTCCAGGGATAACGGGAAGATCAAACTCCCAAAATTTGAACCACGGTGTTTCCACGGAAACTCGGCTGATTATTTGCAATTTGTAAAGGAGTTGAGAACATGCTGAATAGTTTTCTATTAAATGATAAATTGAAGTAAATGCATTTAATAATAATAATAGAATATTCTCCTTTTTACATGAGGGACGCCAGTTTACAGGCATCATCAATGTGATAAATTAGATATGATAAATTACATCTACGATTAGCAATCATACTCAATAATAATGTTTTAATAAAATACATATTTTTTCCTTCCTGCGTAGGACACACCAAATGTACAGGCATGGATAAGCATTATTTAAATTCCATAAATTCGGTTTATGGTTAAATTACATGGTTGCTGACGTTTTCGTCATTGGTTTGTGGAAACAATATGATAACCAGTCATTCAATGGAACACATCATGAAATATAGAAATATTGTCTTCGCATTAACAAAAAAACCCAAGTAAGTTTTGGATGGATTAAAAATACTTGGGAAAAAATAAAGCTTGAAGTTATTCCACAATATAACAAGTCATTCAATGGAGCACATCATGAAATATAGGAATATTGTCTTCGCATTAACAAAAAAACCCAAGTAAGTTTTGGATGGATTAAAAATACTTGGGAAAAAATAAAGCTTGAAGTAATTCCTCAATATAACTTGGGTGTGTACAAATCCGAATCTCATTTTTGATTTGATTTATATCCAAATTGGGTAATAAGGAAGCTATTTTTACAGATACGATCAGTTATGTTATAAGCTACAATCGTGACGTTGTATTACAAATTGATACTTTTCCATTGGTAT